TCGCAGGCGCCTCTGCGACGTAGGTTATCTTTCTCGGGTTAAAAGGAAATTTCTTACTGTTGGTTTTAGCACTATGAAATGAGGGGAATTTGTTTGCCGTGGAATAATAGGTTATTTATCGGTATACATGTACACCATACATTCATATCAGATAATTTATTATTACATATCTGTAATAGATGATTTATCGTTATACATTCGTATCAGGCAATTTATTATTGCTATATTCATACCAGTGAATTTATTATTGTATATGTATATTAGGCAATTCATTGTGTATACATGTATTATATATTATACATGCATTATAATATATTATTTTTTATATTTATACATGCATTATAATATATAATATATGTATATATGTATATATCCGTCGAGCGTTAGCATCGACGTAGCAATAAATTACATAAGCGTAGAACTAGCACAGGGAAATTCACAGCAACCCGACATTTGGTATTTCCGGGAGAAATGACTGTATTCACGTTCGATTCTAGTGTTTGAAGTATCCATATTGGAGTCGGTAAATCTCCTAGCTTCTAAACTCACATATTTAGTGCCAATTTCTTTCGAACATGTATATTGTTTCGATTTCAATGATGAAGCATGAGATATTCAAATTTTCGTATATTTTAATCAATAAATATTAATTTTTATTAGGGGAAGGGCTTCATGAGCACCCCACGTGGGTAGTCTCGGTACTGAACACCCATGTCGGTACATTTGGCTCCGTTAAATTTTTCTTTGGGGGTTTCTATTTCTTTGATTTTCCAGTGTACATTCCAATGTAACTTGTCGAGAAAAGTCCAAAAATCGAAATCCCGAATCTAGGAATGTAATTAAAATACGACCTGAATTCAATTGATAAAAAGCTATTCGCGTCCAAAGTTGACGAATTTCCAGCGATTCTGTCAGCTTATCGCGCCATATTGATGCGTATACTCAGTTCACAGACTTTAGTTTTAATCTTGTTAACCTTTTGACGTAGTTGTAATCTCGACATAACCTTGGCATAACCTTGACATAATCCCCAAGGAAAAGTTTAGCCCTTTTCCCGACAAAATCCATTCGAACGTACACTGCAAAGTCAAAAAAATAGAAACGCCCAAGGAAAAGTTTAGTCTCTAGCTCTAGATCTCTATGCGGGTAATCCCGGGTTAAGCTTCGACATAAACAATATATTGCCTAGTCGATGACCTAACGTATCCCCAAGTAGACATCGATGCAATGAGAGCACTGTGGAGTCGTTTAGAGCGACGATGCCATCAACAGAACAGCAGAGAGAGTCCTAAACCATTTCATATATTTTAAAGGACACGAGTCCGATATTAGGTGATCACCCCTTGGTTTCATTTAAAAGTTCAGATGGCCCAACGTTTCCCCGCTTAGACTATGTAACAATAAAAGTATTACTGGGTTGTTTAGGGTAATGATAGAGGATATGATTGGATAAAAAGTAGTCAAGAGAAGCTAAGACCATTTCATATATTTTAGAAGACATAAGTCCGATATTAGGGGATCTGCTTCTAGTATCACTTAAAAATTCAATTGATCTAACGTTTCTCTACTTACATCACGTAATAATTTTTACCGTACTGCTAGATTATTTGGCACAATGATAGTAACAAGGAATAGCCAAGAGAAGCTAAGACAATTTCATATATTTTAAAAAACACGAGTACGAATCAGGAGATCTCTTTCGATCTTCGTTTTAAAAAAAAGATCTAACAATGCCGTACATGTTCGTCAATCTTCATGCAATAAAAACATTGCTGAGTCGTTTAGAGCAATGATACTGTTGAAGTCATGGCGAAGAAGAAATAAATAGGATCATTTCACATACTTTAGAAGAACCTTAGGGGTTCAGTACTAGCAATTCACCCCTTAGATTAATGGAAAAGTGTTAATGTCCTAATATCTTCTTAGCAGATCTTGACGTTCTAACGTCTTTTTAGTAAACCTTGACGTTCTAACGCTCTTTTAGCCGATCTTAGCGTCCTAACGTCTTTATAGCAGACTTTGATGCCCTGCCTCTTTTTTAGTAGAACTTGATGTCCTAACGCTTTTTCAGCAGACCTTTACGTCGTAACATTCTTTTAGCAAACCTTGACGTTCTAACGTCTTTTTAGCAAACCTTCATGCCCTAACGTTCTTTCAGCAGACCTCGATGTGCTAACGATTTCTTGGCAGACCTTGACATCCTAACGTCTTTTTAATAAACCTTGTTACCTTAACGCTCTTTTAGCAGATCTCGACGTCCTAACGCCTTTTTAGCAAACCTTGTTACCTTAACGCTCTTTTAGCTGACCTCGACGTCTTCTTAGCAGATCCGAACGTTCTAACGACTTTTTAGCAAACTTTGACGTCCTCCTGTCTTCTTAGCAGATTTCAACGTCTATATAACCTTGACGTCTCTTAAACAGATCTTGTCGTCTTAATATCTTTTTAACTTATCTTGATGTCCTAACCTTTTGTAGCGAATCTTGTCGCAATAAAAATACTTTCGAGTCATTTAGGGGAATGATATTGCCAAGAACAGTTAGGAGGAACCAAAAGCGTTTCATACATAGCTTCAATCCAAGACATCGGTTGCCTAATGTTTCCCTAGTTCAATCTTCGCGTAAGAAAAATGCTGTGGACACTCTCAAACCTCAGAATACCCATCAAAGGAACAATAAATCCTAATACCATTTCATATATTTTAGAAAGTCACGAAGAAGATCTTCATCTACCTAGTTCTCCACAGCAAGATTTCCACGTCCTAAGTTCTTTTCATCTTGTCGTAAATAAAGATACTTCCTATCCAATTAGAGCAACGATACCATCGGAAAAGCAGTCAGGCAACGCGAAGAAAGTTTCCTAAGCTAAACCTTGTCGTAACAAAGATACCAGGGGTGAGCGGTTACATGAAATTTTGGGTCGGGTCGAGCCCCGAAAGTTAGCAAATTCCGACATTGCAGTCGGGTCGGGTCAGGATCCTGAAAGTTTTTGAAGCTCGAGCACTCGAAGTCGGGTCGGGTCGGGTCGGCATTTCGAAAAACTGCAATATTCTATAAAAATAACTAGAGCAGTATCGCGCAGTTAGAAACTTTTCGACGACGATATATTGTAGATGTCCCAGTTTCCGCGCTTGTCCCAATTTCCGTGCCCTCTCACCCCAGAGTTAAAAACGTATAGAAAACGAAAAGTTTTATATATAAATCGGTGATCTATATATTTTTATTATGTGTACCTGTCAACATGTAAGATACGTACATGTTCTATACGTTTTAAATACGGGGCACGGAAATTGGGACAGGCACGGAAACTGGGACATCTACTCTCTACATGATGTCCCTTAACGATTTTTCAACTTATTTTTCCAAATAAATGTATATATAATTTTTCAGGATCCCAATTCGATCCGATTTCATTTTCGGGTACCCAAGTTTCACAAACTTTTGAGATCCTGGCCCGGCTCGGCCCGACTTCACTTTCGGGTACCCGACCGGACCCGACCCGATCCGAGGCTCGGGTATCCGAGCACACCCCAGAACCGTACCATTGAGTATTTTAGAACAAAGACACCATCGAAAGAGTAGGTAGGAAAGGTTAGGCGTGCGAACGAGCCCGAGTTCCCGGTTCCAGATGTGTCCGTCGGCGATGGTCGACACGTTCGTGGGGAGCCTTTCAGATGGATTCGTACTCGGAGCCGAGCTGGCGCTCGCTAGTAGGGATAGTGCATGTTGTGTTCGACGTGTGTTGTAATGGGAGGGCACCGGGGGTTCAGTCTCTGATGATCCAGGTGGCAAAGAAGGCGAGCGTGCTGAAGAGGCGGAAGTCGCGGAACCGGATGGACGTGCAGCAGCAACAGCAGCAGCAGCAACAGTCGCTGCCGCCGGTCACGATATCCGGCGGTGTTTCCAGCGGAGCTATTGGCGACGCCGGAGGCCAAAATGACAATCAGCGGATGGAGAACGAGGGCGACGTTATCTTCTACATGGAGGAGCCGAAGGCTGGCACGCCTAACCGCGCCAGGCGCGACAACCGGTGAGTCGGACATTGATTTCTCCCCTTCCGGTATGATCCCTGTTCGAATAACGCCCGTAATGGACGTGTACGAACGGATCCCGCGGCCGAGAGCATCACTGACGATCATTGGCACCGCTTAGAGCAACAGTCACTAGAACTGGACCGTCAATGTTACGTCGTCTCGCGTTCCTAGTTTCTTGTTTTCTTTTCTTTCATATCGGGTATCCCATTTATTTTCAGTCTGTAAGAAATCCGGTGACACGTGATTTACAAAGAACAAGAGCTGACAAACGTCAGTTAGTATTTCAATTAATTAATTTTAGGGCGATCGAGGGTCACTCGAGGAAAAAAATGACACATTGGACTCTGTTTTGTGCTTGACTTGGGTCACGTGGTGTCATGAAATGGGTCATGGGTCACGAAATGACCCAGGTTCGAGCTCCGCACAGATCCATCCTCCGAGGGTCAAATGGGGACTCAAATGGCATTGCTGGTTTTTCAATTCGGAGCCGTTTTCAAGGTCGTTTCAAGGTCATCCTGTTTTTTCTTCATCGTAAACTTACATATTTCTTTTTTATCTCGGAATCATATTCTATGTAAAAGGAATGCGCAACTTTTGTTTGGGACGTTCTACTGTAGGTTAAATGTTTTTTTTAGATATGCAGTGTGTCCCGCTAAAAGTGATACATAGCAATATTTTCGTTATCGTTAATGATACTCAAAAGTGCTAGAGGAACAAATTGTATGGTTTGAAGGAACTCGTCCTGTGGTGAAAACATTTTTTTCCGAGATCGTACATTTTTGAGATTTCGAGGTCATCGATGTTTTTTAAGTGACGTTACATATTTCTACCGTTGTGTCGTGATAGTTGAAATCGAGACGAATTCAATGACTTGTAGTATCATGACCTCCGCGTGACCACGACTACGAAAAATCTCAAAACATTTAAAAATCGAGACCAATAATGAAATAACTACAACAGAGAAAACAGCAATGAGAAATTCAAACCTAAATTCTAAAATTGGAAGACATTTAGAGTTTGTTGATCCTTCTATTGCAGTTATTTTATTGTTCGTCTCTATTTCCAAATGTTTTAGGATTTTTCGTACTGATGGTTACGCGAAGATCATGGTATTACAGATCATTGGATTCGCCTTGATTTTAGCTACTATGATGTAATAATAACAATGTGTAATCCCATTAAAAAAAACACCGATGATGTTGAAATTTCGAAAAAAAAATATGACCCTTAAAAAATAATTATTTATATCACAGGCTGTGTCCCTGCGAGTCATACAATTTGTTCCTCCAGTATTTTTGAGCATCATTAACGATAACGGAGATATTACTTCGTAGCAGTTTTAGTTGAACACGCGGTATATCATAAAAAATATTGAACTGAATGAAAAATGTTCCAAACAGAAGTAAGTTCTAAACAGTAGTTCCGATATAAAAAATATAAGTTTACGATGAAGAAAAAACAAGATGACCTTGAAATAACCTTTAAAGTGCTCACGACTCAAAAATCTAATAGTTCCATTTGAATTCCCACTCAAAATACTAAAAGATGTGTGACAGCTTGTTTTTTCTTCAAATCACGGGTCTGCGAGATTTTTTACAATCTCAACACCCTGTATATTTCCAATACGTATCACAATTTGTCCAGTGAGGATATTTGGCAAATTTGACTGCATATCAAGAGAGAATTCGTAGTCCATTGTCCACTCTGTCTCTGAGATTTCTTTGTTCTTAACGGAGACGTGTGAAATTTTAGAACGTTCTAATTTGTGGCATTTTTGAAAAAAAGAACAAACGAGAGTCTTCAGTTTCTCATTGCTTATGCGATACAAAAACAAGTTGGAAGCAAAACGAGCAATAGATTGCAAAACCGGAGTCCTGAAGCTTCAAAATGATTCCAGTTTTATTGTTATCTCTATTATATTTATTTATATATTTATTTATCGCTGTATTTTTAATAAAAGCATGTTTATCGCAACTTTTAATAGAAGCATGGTTTCTAACGTTACTATTTACTTCTCCGTTCCACTACACTTTTGCAATAATTTCTGAACTATTTCTAAATAGAACTTGTAATAATAATTTTTTTATATAGAATTTATATCCTGAAAATTCTATTTTGATTTCTGATTCTATTTAATCGACCATGTACATAAACTATCTACCGCCGCGTTTACTGGTACACGAAAATGATTTGGGAATTAGCGAAAGCCAATTTTCCTCGTCCTCGATGGCACGCTGTGTGAACCTAATCTTGTTCATCGAGAAATGTGAAAACCATGAGCCTACGTCACGTGACTATTGCTCTAGGAAACACGGTCGCCGAATCGTCAGCTGATTATTGCTCGTCGCCCGCCGAAAAACAGCACTTGCAAGCAAAACGTTGAACCTGCACTATACTACCCCTGGCAAAAAGTATTCAGTCAAATTTCATTCTTTAGGATAATGCGATTGTTGCACTAATCACTTATACTCTGGGTCTCTTGGAAAGTAATGTCGTTGTTCAATTAAAACGATCACGATATCAAATTATATACTCGATGAATATCTTGTTACTAATTAATTAGCAATTCTTAAAACAGAACATGAATAGCACGTTTAAATAAATTATTTAACTAATGTTAATGTTTATATTTGTTCGGTTTTTCTCTAAATCTCGATAACTTTGCAATAATATTTTCTGTTATTTATGCAAAAGTTTTGTAGAAATTCTTTTGTCATATGTAGTT